CGTTCCGAAACTGAGATCGTATCATGAAAATGTCGTAAGGTGGATCATCTTTTCCCATACGATTACATGTAAAACCAAATAATTCGTTCCAACGCGAAAAACATACTCAAATTAAAGCCAAGTAATACATTTAAAAAAATAACTGTAGTAAGAAAAACAAATGAAAAATTGGAACTAATGTAACGTCGTAACGGTGAGTTTTTGTTCGTATCGTGGAGCAAAAATATGTTCGAATTTCATGTCGTATCCTGAAAATTTCGTATGCTGGGGCGTTCGTAACCTGAGGTACCACTGTAAAAGAGGAATGGTTTAAAGGAGGTTTATGTATAAACATGAGTAAAACAAAATATTTATGCATAGGAGGGGCTAAAACAGACATGGCAGTGGAAGAGGGAGAAAAGATTGAAGGATGTGAGCATTACAATTATCTTGGAATACAAATTCATCAAGATGACAGAGATGCATTAGAAATTAATACAAGATTAGCACAAGGTAAAAGAGCAGTTAAAAGATTAAAAAGAATATGGTGGAGTGAAGAAATAACTAGATCAAGAAAAAAAAGAATATATAAGGCTATTGTTAAAAGCATTCTGTTATACAGAGCGGAGGCATGGAGAATGACTGGGGAAGAGAAGAGAAAAGTAACAACAGTTGAAATGGACGCATTTAGCAGAATCTCGAAAAGAGAAAGAATAACTAATGAGTGGATCAAAGGCTTAATGGGATCGAAGGAGACGGTTTTGGAAGAAATACAGAGGAAACAACTTATTTGGTTTGGATATGTGAAAAAAATGAGTGATGAGAGACTCCCGAAAATGTCAATAGAATACATTTCACAAAAAAAAAAGAAAAGAAAAAGAGAAGACCCAGGCGAACTTGGTACGACGGAGTAAAGTTAGCATGTAGTGGAAACATGATTAAAGAGGAATGGTGTATGGATAGAGAGAGATGGAGCGGTTCCTTTAGGTCGGAAGGCGACGTCAGACGCCATAAACCGAATATAGATAGATAGAAATGAAAATCGGTTAAACTCCGAAATAGCCGTGAAAAATCCTTGAAATTTCTCATTAGATTCGAATTGATTGATTAATTGTTTGGTTGATTTGTGGAGAAATGGCAACGTAACATATGAATGATCTGTCAAGGATAATGTCTTCCGGAAGAACTTTCTATGAGAAACTGGTTCCTGTTAGATGAGTAAAGAAAAACTGCGGAAAACTCCACTTGGCCAGCCCGGTGGCCAGGCACAAATCCGTGTCCAACTACCAATGTTTAGTGGTTTTATCCACTCGACCACTCATGAGATATCCGAAAAATGAGTGGGCCTAAAAGATATACATAAGCCCGTAGCGTAGCATAGGTGTCAGCCGCCCGGGGCAAAGGAAAATTTCGCCGTCCCCTTATTTAGGTATCTTAATTTAAAAGACTAAAATTCAGTTTCGTCACAGAATAAGTAATGAAAAATTCCATGCTATGTTGCCACCTTTTTAAAATCGCTGATCCGGACGGCAAGTGAGGTTTGTTCGAACAGAAGTTTCTGACACATGCGTATGTAATTTTGCAATGCGAAGAATAATGTGTAGTGCACGCCAGTTCTAAATCAGTTACAGTTAGCGAATAGGGAGATTCGGGTAGGAGTAACGTAAATAACCTAGATGACTTACCTCTATTGGATATTGGAGGTATATATGAATACGAATAAATCGTACAAGCAAAAAAAAAAAAAAAANAAAATTGTTGAACCTTATGCAGATAGAAATTTTTAAAGGATATCTTGATAAAAGAGCACTGGTATTTCATTTAAACTGTCTTAGAAGGATGAAAGAAATAAGTACTTACATAAAAATTATCTACTTGTATTATACACAATTTCGATTCTGATATAAAGAAATGAGTATAGTTATGATGAGGCGTTTCTTTCCCGGTTGTCACGGAATATTACTGAGAGAAAGTATTATGATGATCAATAAAATGTTTACTCCTTTTTTGTATTTCTCCACGTTTTGACACTCCGTGAGCCCAAAAGTCTAAAAAAACATATTCCCCGTGCTCATTTCAATCGGTACGAATCGTAGGTGAGACGAAGATATGAAATGAAATGGTTAAAATTTTTACAAGATATTATTATTATTTATTGTGAAATTTTGCCGCTCCCACTACGCTACGCCACTGACATAAGCCAATAGCAGGGGATGACACAGCTACGTAAGCTTTTGGTTACGGGAGTGAACCTGCTCTGATTTGCAATATTTCTGAAAAAAAAGGGGCTCAGAATGATTTTTCAGCCAGTCCAACTCAGCTTAGTTTTCTATTCCGATGAATGTTGCTGAAACGTTTCTACTGGTGGTATTAGGTATTTATTGTATATATCCTAAGTACATCTAAGTAATGTTCGCCGGAAAATTTAAAGAAAAATGTACATGCATAAATATAATGAATAAATATAACTATTCCTCGCAACAACAAGATTTCTCATAAAACCTATATAATCTCAAAATTCGACTAAAGCAGGGCTTCTTAAACTATGGATCGCGACCCAACTCGCAAAGGATGCCATTTTAATACGAAATGTTCGTCTATCATTATGGTATATTGTATATACTATACGATATTATATATAAATACTACAGTCTATATGCGCAATAGCCTCCTACATAATTTTTAAAGGACATCTTTTTTTGTAGTTATTTGAGAGCAAAAAATGTATAAAATTTTAAATATGTCTAAAAAGTACACAAACTCACAATGTCATACANAACTTCGGTCACGTCTAGTACAGGGGTGTCAAACCCACGGCCCGCGGGCCGCATGCGGCCCAAGGTAAGTTCCAATGTGGCCCAATAAGCGTGTAAACAATACTGAAAAATAAAAAACTTTTTTTATTAATTTAATTCAAGGCATAAACTCAAAAAAGAAGTTTCACAAAGCCGTAAACCTTTATTAAACTTCGGTCACGTCTAGTACAGGGGTGTCAAACCCACGGCCCGCGGGCCGCATGCGGCCCAAGGTAAGTTCCAATGCGGCCCAATAAGCGTGTAAACAAAACTGACAGCTTTATTATTTATTTATTTATTTCAACGGCATAAACTCAAAAAAGAAATTTCACAAAGTTTATACATATTTTATTTTTGAATGGAAAGGAAATGTTTTCAAATACTTGGAAATGTGTGAATGAAGAAGGAATACTAAATAGAGCTGGAATTGTGACTCAAAGATTATAGTCCCAAATTCGGGGAAAGGAGAGAAAGGCCAAAAGATATAAAGTAGTGAGAAAGGTTAAATAGACCCTCTGTTATGCAAATATTGACCCTTAATTTTTCAACCTTACTCACTTTATCTTTTTTCCTTTCTCTCTTTTCACCTCGTTTGGGTTTCTAATCCTTGAGTCCCAACTCCAGCTTTATTTAGTATTCCTTCCAGCGTTGCAAGATTTGGCTACTCTTTTGTTAGTTTGGCGTAAAAAATATCAATTGGCGCATTGGCTACTTTTTGGGCTACATATTATTTATAAATATATTACTTGAATAAAAATGCACTTTAAAATGATGTTTTGTTGTTTTTTATTAGAGATCCAAATAAAACGAATATTTGTGTTTTTCAAACAAATTTTTGTTCGTCTCCTTAACAATAAATGAATTTATCTATTTCTAAGTAAAAATTGAAAGTGTCTGTAGAAGCAATTTT